ACCATTTTCAAGCAGATGCATGTGACCCGTTTTGGCTAAAACAAACATACCCCTCAAATTGAAGAGCTTAGCTAAATCAGATTTCTACTAATTCTGCCAAAAATATTAAAGAAAATAGATTTGCCATAAATACAAAGGTAAAAGTAAAGTAGATATGAAAGATCATCCATTAGTAATACAAGTATGGCTAATTCTTCCTGACAATGAACTGGTGTGTGATATAACCCTCTCTATTTGTTTATTTTAATGACTTACTAGATTCCACATATTTTTTCCCCAGACACCCTAGGTTTGGGTACTAGCAAGTTTTTATGAGGATCTGAAGGCCCTAACAGTAATGTATTACGGACAAAAGGAATAAGAGCAACTTAAAGTACTTTAACATAGTAAAGAAAAAATGAAGTAAAAACAGAGGTTTTAGAATCTTTCTGAGCTACTGACAGTAGCGTAAGATGGTGCGACCTACTACAAGTAATCTGCAGTGATAATGAGGAGCAAGTTGTTGCACATTTTACAGAGAATCACAAGTACTGAATTAATATTGCACTTCACTCTTACATCAACCAGCAGACTACTTACTAGGCTGTTTTGGGGCTCACTTTTCTTCATAAATGCATTTTGGTGAATATGTAGAGTTGCGCTACGTTCTCTAGCGAACAACAACTTTGATTTATTCATGTAAACATCAGAAATGTGTTGGCAAACATAGCCATATGGAAGAGAAAGAGATATAATGGATTTTCTGTTTGCTTTAGAAACTTGACATCTGTGGATAGCATCGTCTAACTTACGATCCAATAACTTTTCATCTTTTGGTCATTTTCATTCATCAATCTAAGCCAAATTTAATTTGATGACACAAAAATGGGGGGGGGGGGGGGGGGGGGGGAACACAGCAGAGAGGGAATAATCTTTTAGAAACTTAAAATAGGAACACGCTTAAAAATTATTCTCTTTCACCTCATAAATTTAAAGAACAAGGAAATTCACATCTGTTCTAACTTAGCTTTAGAGCTTGAAAAGCAAAGAAAAAGTATTGGGGTTATTTATACCATGTTTATATTTCGGAAGAGATCTTCCGAT